CCTTCAGATCGACACCTTCCTTCAAACTTAGGTTTCGGGTCACTAGGGACTCCTCCGGTTTCCCCTATTTGCAACACTATCATACAGTCAGCTCATGAAATGTTGGTTCGCAAGAAACAAAATAATTTATATATTTAGCAATCTCATCATGAATCATGCGCTGAGAGCTACTGAGTAACACCAAATGACACTAAGAAACTCGCTGAGGCACTGGATTCCTTTAGCCTGAACCTAACCGATCCGCTAAAGGGCAAAGTCGATAACGCGATCACATGCCATTTTTTCTACTCACCCGCAATTGCCGGGCGCGAGCTGAGATCGACCACTAATCGAGTTTTAATTCTTCATAATTTTTTTTTTCTTTTTTTTTTTTTTTTAAATTCTTTTGGCACAGTCAAGGTGATTAAGCTGAGAACCATCACGCATTTTATTGAAACTGTTTGGTTAACGTTTACGTAACGTAACAAACGATTACGACGAGAGAGGGAACTGGTACGCCTCCTCCTAAAGAGACCTTTGACGAGAGAGGGATCTGGTATGCCTCCTCCTACAGAGACCTTTGGAGGGAATTCTTAGAATTTTGATAAGAAACCACACAGATCAAAGCTTGTTCATATCTCAATGATATTCTATACCAGTGATGATGTGTCTAGTCTCAAGCTAGTGTCAGTTACTTGTGGTCATCTAAGGTTTCTCTTGATTGCTTTTTAACAACAACATCTAGTCTCTCTGGCTACCGAGATAATTATCGGCAAATTTAGCACCATTTTGGAACGCCAAGATCTAAATAGATTACCATACACGTTGATTATTGTCTTTTTACTTAATATCCACTAACCATTTCTTCGCCGGAGCAGACCACCGTTAAAGACAAGCTAAATGATTGATGGATCGACCCACTAAGCCGGACATGTATGCAATGAGATAGCAAGAATTCGCGTGGTATTTCTTGACAGATTTATTCGAGGACGTTGCCAAGACGAGGAACTAAGTCAAAACAAGCCTTTAAGAACATTCAAAGAGAAACTGTTTGTCATCGTTGGAAGTATTTGAGAACGCTTAGTGCCCATTGGTCAGCAAGGTCTGCTGTTGAGCTTCGTCATCTTGGCTTGACACTGAAGACATTCCAAATTGCCTTCTTACCTGAAGACACCGGAGAAGATTCGAAAAGTCCTATTTTTAACTTGGTCTAAAGATTGCCGGCGCGAAAGGCATCATTTTATGATGCTTTTAGTTTGCGCTCAATGTAAGAACTTCGATTAAACTGAGGAGAAAAGTAAGTAATAAGTTGGTAAGGAATATCTGGGATCGATTTTAACGATTCGAACCGAAGAATATCCGCCCGGAGAACCGAGACAGTGAAAAATGTCAAACCGGACGATCACGCGAAAAGGAGACCTGTCCATCTTTAATAGAGATCCTCCCTCATGCTTCTCTAATCGCGTGGCTAGAGTTCGCCGTTCTAATAGCTTGGAAGATAGGAGACTACAGGACCAACTGCAATCAATACACTTAGAACATGTGATAAGAAATCGCCACATCTTCAAAGAACAGCAAACGCTGGTAAGGCAATTGAATGGTATTCAAACAGTGCGAGAAACACCGCACATAGGACTAGAAAGGCGAAGGTTACAGCAGGTCAATTCTGGGTATCCCATTTTAGCACAACGGAGTGAAAACTCGACTAACTCAGTCCGCAAACGGGCCAATTCCGCCCAGCCACCTTTGGTAAAAAGTCATCCACCGCCTCTTGCTACGCAGTGCAGCGCCGTCACGCCATTCCCCAGTCCAGATTGCAGGTGTAGTTATACAGGACACCGTATGCGTCGGTCTCATACTTTGACAACAAATCCGCATGGAACATTCACTAGATCAGCTACAGTTCCTTTATTCACATCATTTGGTGAATTAAGGGAAAATTTTGGTTCGAATTCAATGTATGCACCAGATATCAGGGAAAACAGTGATAAAATCTCAAACGCGTTGGCAGAGGAAACACAAATCGGGTTAAAATCCTGCCGGTTGCCAACTATTGGAAATAAATAGCAACTATAATCCTTTCATCTTTAAAACTCTTATAGTTTTCTGTTTGCGAATTAATCCGTCACCCCTGAAGCCGAAAACCTTTTACAAAAGCACTTATCGGGAGTCAATGCTGTGAGACATCTGTTCCTGTTTAATTTACTGCCAGCTACAACTTTATGGTATGCTTTATTCCTTTGGCTGTAGTGTCTTTTGCCTCAAAAGTATGGGAAGCATCTACACACGAACTACATAAGCCATGACCTCTTTAAAGCTACATGAAATAGCAAATGAATAACCAGTGGTCTTCATTCATAAAATGTACATGGCACACTCTCTTGGGTATTTGGCTGAATATCATCACAGAAATTAGTTATAAGACTGGCCCCCATTTAAGACCATCGAAATAGATTCCACGCCTGTGGTAATTACACAGTATTCTATCCACTCCATTCCAAGATGAATATAAAATTATACGCATATATATAAAATGTTTTATCAATGGAGACTGAGAGCCTTTTGGCAGTGCCCAAAGCCAGCATAAACAGAATGATAACATTTAAGTAAACAAGGCATGTATACATAAACCAAAAACTTGGATTAAAAAAAAAAAAAAAAAAAAGACTGTTTTGATACATGTATGCGGCAAAATCACTGCAGACCTGCATAACTTACTTTCTTATCCACTATACCCCACAAAGCAAATGCTAAGACTGAAAATCCTGTACACTAATGAAGGAAAAGATCCTGCTCTTTGTTCTCAATGTTACAATTTCTCTACATAAGAAAAAAAACAAGGGATGTTGTAGCATAATGATAAGTGTGCTGAATTCAGGGTCAACTGGTCTGTGTTCTAGATATGGCCGCATCAAAGTGTTGTATTCTTCGGCAAAACGCTTCACTTTCACAGTGTCTCTTTCCAGCCAGTGGTTCAAATGGCTACTGGTGAATGGCCGGAGAAGCCTGACAAAACAATGGGACGTGACCTTGTGACCAGGGGAAAAGTAGTGATAGTCCTAGTCACTTCATGATAAGGAAACCAAGACAAGCGCTGGCTGGGCTGAGTCAGGGCAACTTGGATCAAGTGCAGACTTCACCAACTTTCTACATAAAGAACAACTAAACAACAAAAAATGGAATAAAGAATGAAGATGGCTCATCAGCAGAAGCCTCTACTCACACAATCTCTGTCCAACCTTGCCAAGACAAAGCAGAACTCTCAGCATAATTCAATATTTTTGTAATCAAGCATTTTTCCTATCCCCCTCCAATAATGCTGTACTACAATAAAGAATAAAGGTCATGCTTTAGGCAAAGCAATAATGGAGGGGGAAGAAAATTGTGCATGAGAAATGCTACACTAATGAAGTGATGATCCTGTTCAGTTCTTAAAATACAGCTTTCTAATGTTTCCATAGAGCATGACAACATACTGTATCTCTTTCTTTAAACCTCATGTTTTGAGTAGGACCAGGATTGATCAGACAAGTTGACTGCCTCTGATATCTCACACTATAGCATTGCCACATTTAGAGCACACAAATAAAACTCAACTTCATTCAAAATTAGCAAATGCAACTACTGTTCTTTATTATTATCACATTCATTTAGGAATTTCTGTTTTGGCAAAATACAAGTGTGCACATTGACAGATGCCATGCATATCAGGACTGTTCTTTCTTGAAAGTTGTTATAATGTGGTTATTGTTTCTATAGATGGTTTCTCTGGTCATGTCCTTCCTGTCAAACATAAATTCCAACCCAGAGTAACAGAAAAAGCACTCCAAATCCCATAAATAGAGATGCCACTAAAGAGACCAGCAGTTCCTTGTAGATGTCTCTACTGTACTTGGTGGAAGTGACTTCATAGCTGGAGTAATAGTTAAAGAAAATAATACTTCCAAACCGATAATTTATTTATAGAAAGATAATTTGGTTGGCCCTTCACCATTTGCTCTGATGACAGGTTAATGCTAAAAACGTCTGCTTTGAAACTCTTAAAGGTTGCCAATTCACATTATCAACTCAGTTGATGAAACAAAATTATCTTGTTGTAATGAAGGTTACGCCAAAGAATACTCAAGCTTTCTAGCACACTGCTATGTCTTCAATGTTGCATGAATCAGACAAAAAATCATCGACCTGAACTGTCAGTAAAATTTAAAACACGGAAAGGACCTTAGAGAGAGATTTTGGTGACTCGAACCACCTCAGTTTGAAGATCAATACTTTTGTTATTGTTATCATAATGATAACAATTACAAAAGTATCGATCCCATATATCTAAATTGAAAAGATCTACATTTTGAATTCTACATCTGTTAAACTGATTACCGGACAATATCTCGATGAGTTCATAATTTGAATCCTTGTAATCTTTTTATACGCTAACTTGGATGGAAGTACTATTCTGAGTCTAGAGTGTACAAATGTAGGTAGTAAAAGTAGTACATCGGCTCATTATAGAGGCTACATTACGGAGGCAACTTCATGCGGAACACAATTAAAAGGATACACAAAGAACCAGGCCATAAAGAATATTCCAATAGAAAGCAGCACAATGGTCAGATGAGGAAAGACTGCAGGATTGATTGGACTGGCATATCGGTTCATCAGGTCAACCGATAATCCCTCCTAAAATATAAGAATTGTGGCTTGAGAATCAATCCCCACATAAATTTATGGTGCAGACATATAAATAAAGTTTCTATCTGTATTATTTCCCGCACTAATAATGCAAAGATGGCAAGGATTCTCGAGAGATTCTGCAGGACATATACTCACCATTTTGGTAACTACACAAAGATCAACAAAGAGACGGAAGAGGAGACGTGGAAGGGGGTAATTGGGAGAAACCGCTGCTTTATTTGCAGCTCATTCTGAGCTTTCGGGTTATAATCGAGAAATTACGAACAAGATCGATCAAAATCGGAAAAACGTCGGTAGGTTTTGTTTCTGATGATGAGGGAAGTCTGGGATTGAGTTTTAAAGTTAGGCGCCATGTTTGTCTCTACTAAATCATGAGTTCAAAAAAGAAGAAAGGAGAGGGAAAATCGGGGGAGTCATGGGAAAAAGGAGAAGAGATTTTTCAAGGTGTTATTCTCACGGATAGTTTCAACTTCAGATTCTTACCAGTAACTCTTGAAACGCCCAGGGTTAGTGAAGTCATTGAATGCACATGTCACATGGTCGTTACTTTCGATTTATTTTGATTTAGTCATAAATTCAATTTACAAGAAATTAATTAAGAAGAAGCTGAGGGGGCTGTGACCTCCGATCTTATAATGAGGTTTCCTTATTTCTCCATATTTCGTAATGCATACAGTTATTTTACAAAGAAAACGATGGCGAAAACATTATTTTCAGTTTACCTTTGAGACGAATGCTTTGTTTGGAGTATGGGGGTTATACGAAACCCCCATACTCCCCTTTCTGAACCACCCATGAGAATTTCATCCATTATTCTTCTAGCTTTCTTTAAGCTATCATGACTGAAAAATCAAGGATACCTGCTTTGAATAGTGATAGTTTAGAATAAGTATGGAGGTGGTCAGCAGTAGTTTTTACATCAAGAAGTCTTATTATTGTAACAAACAGTTGAGTTTCTTTATTTTGAGCTTGACAACAAAACGTCATTATTTTTTTTAGTCTTATTCTTATTATTATAATCCATTGTAAAGCACACATACTCCTCATTTATGGAGGAAGAAATGAAAAGGAGACTTGACAGAGATAAGTTAGAGGAGGAGTCAGTCTGGAAGAGAGTGATGACTTTTTTTTGTGTTAAACCTTTTTTTTTTGTCCTGTGCCACCTACTTCATTACTTAACCCAATTAACTCCTTAGATCTGACTGCTAATTCTCTCTAGCTGTTATTTATTTCCTTGCAAATTAGTTATGAGAATTTAATTTAGATCAAGGTAACAATATAACATAACATACATGTTTATTCAAACTCATATATAACTACATAAATTTCAAAGGGAGAGTCAAGAGGTTAACCCTATGAATAAAACTCTCCTAAAAACTACAACAAACAAAAAAAAAACCACAAATTTATAGCTTTAAAAAGGATTTAAGTTTACATTTAAAAAGTTCTAGGCTACCGGCTTCAACAACATTACTAGGTAAATTATTCCAATGACTAATTACATTGTTGAAAAAAGAATATTTGAAACAGTTAATTCTAGATAATTTACAATAAAGCTTATACGAGTGATTTGCCTCAGTGGATTTGACTTTTTGTGAATTCAAAGAATTCCTCAAAATCCAACTGTGATAAGCCAAACACGATCTTATAACATTCAACAAGAGAGGAATATGTCTTACGACTCGTCAAAGATGGCCAATGTAACGTGTTGCAACGCTCTTCATAAGACATATCACCTCTTTTTTGCCTAAGAGCTAACCTTGACGCGCGTCTTTGCATGCTCTCTATTGCATGAATATCTTTGATGAGATATGGGTTCCAGACTGGAGCAGCATACTCTAGAAGTGGTCTGACCAATGTTTTGTAAAGCAGTGAAAAAGTTGTTGTATTAGCTGTTCCAACAGTCGGTCTTATTAGCCCTAGGACTTGGTTCCCCTTATTCACGATAGTACTAATAATTATGTTCACTCCAAGTAAGATCTTTTGATATAATAATTCCAAGATCTTTAAAGCTCTTGACATCTTTTAAGGCCGTACCTACCATAGTTTATAATTTGTAGTGGATTTGTCACGAGAATGCATTATTCGCATTGCTTCACACTTGTCCTAATTGACAAGTAACAACTTGTACATGATAAGTTTGATTCTTCTCATAACATGTTTGCAAGATAGTGTACATAGGGTTTAACAATGCTAGTTATGTCTTGGTAATCCCCATAGGCCTTGTTACCATTGGTTAATGTCCCTCTTCTGGATTACACAATCGAATTCCTTGTGGAGGCTGGAGTACAAGAAATCTTTGTTTTCTGTTGTGCACATGCTGACCAGATCAAGAAACATTTAAGGTTTGTGGAGTTATAAGATTCTTTTAATGACTGCACTTCATTCAAACAATCATGTGCTTGTAGTTTGATGGTTGTTGCTGTGCTTGTCTTTTTAGTGTCTTGGTGTAGTAATAAATTAGTAGCCTTTTGTTGTTTCTCTTGTACATACTGTCATAATGATTGTAATACTGTATGTTTTCTAGCCAATCAAAATGGACCAGGTCAAGATCACCCTGTGAGGTGAAAACAGTTGTTGCAGAAGACTGCCTGTCAATGGGTGATGTTCTTCGAGAAATTGATAGACAGGTTGGAATAAACAAAAACAAATTTATTCTGATTGCGTGCATAATTATGTTCAATGTACCTAAAGCGAGATGAGTTGAAAAAAGTTAAGTTCACCTTTTCATCTTTATATGATTATTTTTTCTGAATTAAGAAAATTAAGTTTGCTCCAATTTTCAAGCTTGGTTGGGTTTTTTAATGTGAAGGTGTGAAGCATGATTTCTGATTCAACTTCTACTAACGTATATTATTTAAATTCTTGGTTAAGGGAAAGTTGACTTACTGGCAATACTGGTAAACATGTACAAATATCAATTGAAAGTAATCCTTGCATGTAGCGAATGGTTTAAGAAACAGCAGAAAGCCACTAAAAATCAAGCTTCTGTAATCATGGTAACTGTTATTGAAGCAAGATGGAAATTTCAATATGTGATTCATTGGCAACAGCAAATTTTTGAGCAGGTTGTTTACACGTAAAAGCTTAATATATAGATTTAGCCAAGCCTAAAAGCAGAGCTTGCATTTTTTTTTTCCCACACGTCTCAAGGACACAATGCCTTGCCCCAGTGAGGACTAGCACCTGGCTCGTCCAACTCTGAGCCCATTGCACTGACCACTGGACTACTGGACAAAGCCATGGTGTTGGCGTGCCGGCAGTACAGTTGACCACGCATGCTAAAAGTAGCACCTTGTACAGATACCCATACAGTCACAAGTCGAAATTTTTTCGGCTTGTATAATTGTGGAGCTACGCTCTGCAAGCTCTGCTGTAAGAATGCGGTCATTAATACTTCTATTATTGTGTGTTGATACAAATTATACATTTTTTTTGTTTTCATAGTCTTTTCTTAAGAATGATTTTGTGTTGGTGAGTGGTGATGTGGTTTCAAATATGAAATTGGAACAAGTCTTGCAAGAACACAAGTAAGTCAACATAACATTATGTCCATTGTTCTGGCATCATCAGTAGTTTCATACTTTGGTATGTTTTGAAATAATAGTACTTGTGCTTGAATGTTGTATTCAACAGAGAAAGAAGGAAAAAAGACAAAGCTTCGCTGATGACAGTGGTATTCAAAGTGGCTAATCCTGGACATAGAACCAGGTAAATACACCTCTGGCTGTCTTATTACAATTTTATATGTGGTTAACTTCAGCTGCTCTTTATACCTTCTAACTCCCATGAGTGACCAAGACAGAATTTCTTCTTACGGTATCAATACAATATCAAGCAGGCAAGTGATGAGAATAATGCAAAACATCAACTAGGGGATTGTTATTTGATCCGATACCAAATTCTCGAAACTAATATGATAAGAATTGTGTGGCAGACAGTAAGGAGAATTACTAATGGGGGGGAGTTTCCAACTGGGAAAATACAGGAATGAGTGCCTTAATAGTCAAGGTTGTGCTCTAAGAAAAATTGAAGGGAGCCCAGTGCTCTGAAACTGTGAAATCCAGGGTGCCCAGCATAATTATACTTTTTATGAAAAACTAAGATTCCCGAGTCGCTCAAGAGCATTTAAGTAAGGCACCCGGGGCCATTGGGCACTGCTAGACCACAGCCCTGATAGTTGCTCAATTTCATTATGCTAAGGTAAGTGTCTAAACAGGCCATTCGATATATCAAATTCAAACTTAGCTCCAAGGCTAGGTGGAATAAAACAAAAGAAATTACACTGAGGTTGAGGAATGAATAATTTATTTTATTTGTTTTATTCCCCCTAGCTTCAGAGCTATGCTAGAATTTTAATATCAAATTGGCCTATTGGAGGAGGGGTGTGCATGGTAAAGTTTCATGCAAATTATTGGCAGTGAGTTTGTCAGACAATGATCTGTACATTGATTTACACTTACTTTAGATGCCAAGAAGAGGATTTCATAGTTGCTTTAGACTCAACAACTGGTAGAATCCTTCAATGTGAAAGAACAGCAGACAGAAAGAGATTTTCATTTCCATTGGTAAGTGAGGATATACTCAGTCTACATCTGTTCACACCTGTTGTGCATAATTTATAAGGAATACAGTTGACCCCACATTATATCATCTTATCTACAATTTAACAATTTTTGAATACATCATTCTAATTTTTATGGCCAAAACCTCTCAAGTCAGTTCTGCTCTGTATTTTTCTTGGACCCTTACATCTAAATCCTATTGACTTCAGTCACACAGGTATTGCAAATTGTAATTATCAAGTGTGTTATTGTTTGTTTTTCTGTATCTTGAATAACAATTTCTCCACCTTTGCTTCTCTTTAAGAGTTTATTCTCAGGCAACAGTAATATCCAGATTAGATATGATCTCCTGGATTGTAACATTTGTATTTGTTCAACAACAGTGAGTTGAGAACTATTCTATAATTATATGATAGTAGTTGTTGTTGTTGTTTTCTTTTTTCCTTTTAAATTGAATTATTATGCCCTGAGAAAGTTAATTTATGTCATTTTGTTTCTTTGTTGCTGATTTACTTTGTATTTCATAATTCCTGTTTATCAGGTTCCACAGTTATTTACTGACAATTTTGATTATCAAACCAGAGATGATTTTGTAAGAGGAATTCTCGTAAATGAGGAGGTATGTACAATAGAATAACTGTAAATTTTTGTGGAACTTGAAAGTGGGTAGTCAAGTTGCCCTTTAACTCTCACGTGTGACCAAGACAGAATTTCTCCTTATAATGTGAATTGATACAGTATTAAGAGCAATTGTCCATAAGAGCACCAGATGGACTCTAAGGGGGCACTTAAATTAGAGTTGTAGCTTTCTGACAAGAGGAGATATTTGACATCAAAGTTTTCAAATATTTAAGTGAATCAAAAAGTTTTAAAACTCGGTCATTCATTTGCCTTTGAAGATTGACAAGCCATCAATGAAACTGACTGATACTTGCATTTTACATTAACTGAGCAGGATGTATGAGTATGATTGTATGCAAACCCTCAGAGTAATTGGTGAAATACCATAACAGTGCTCGCTTCATACATTTTACCTATTTTGAAGTGATTTCCTTTATAAAAACCAAGAAAAACTGCAGGGGGGGCAGTGGTATATCTCCCCTGGAAATAACCAAAAGAGAAACCAGTTGTCTGTTTGAGTTTTGGGGTAGACCCTTTAAACTGGCAAAGTTTCATGGAAATCAGAGAGATGGCAGGTAGCATGGCTGCCTGGTGCTATCATGGACACTTTCTTATTAAGCAGATAAGTGATGAGAATATGGAAAATATCAATTAGGGGATTATAAGTTGAACCAACACCAAATTCTCTAAAGTAAAATCAGAAGAACTGTATCTTGCAGACAGCAAGAGGAATTACTAATGAAAACTGGGGTCAGTGAAAGGGTTGATGAGCATGTGTAGTATTGGTGCAAACCTGAGAAAATGATCATTAATGAGAACTGCTCTACAGTCTTGCAGTGTAATTATTAAATCACTGTATGTTTTGTTGTTGTTTTTTTTTTTCTTTTCTGTTTTAGATCATGGGTAACCAAATTCATTCATATGTAATTAGTGACAAGTATGCTGCTAGAGTGTCAAACCCTTACATGTATGACACAGTCAGGTTTGTAAGCAAAATTTCCATTGCTAACAGTGTTTATCAATACAATGTACCTTGTTTTATTTGCTTAATAATAATTATGTTTTCAAGGTGGAATTTGAATTCCACTTTGACCCAGTGTCCAGCATACCTTTTGGCAAAACTCCATTGAGAAACTAATTTAAAAGTATATTAATTGAAGATGCCCCACAGCTGGAATATTTGAAATATTTTACAAAAATTTAAAGTGAAGTTTCTCTCTGGAAACAGCAATAACAAACTAAACAAAATTGTACTCAGTGTGAAATTTTTATTTCATTTTACCATCATTCATTTTTTTTCCAATAGCAAAGACATTCTTAGGAGATGGGCTTATCCAATAGTACCTGATAATAGTATATTTTTCATGGATTTCTCCTACTCATTCACAAGACACAATGTGTACCTGGACAGCGAGCTCTCACTTGCCAGGTAAGTTCTAAACTTGAACTACTTATCCTAATAATGTAATTATTTGCAAAATTCATTCACACTACACACTGCCTTTTAAGACACTATATATACATACATTAGTTGAAGAATTAAAGAGGAAGCATCAATTCTCTATTACTCTGAGTTTCGCGCCGAAGCGCTTGTTAGACAGAATTCTACTTTGATCCAGTGTCCAGCATACCTTTTGGCAAAACTCCATTGAGAAACTAATTTAAAAGTATATTAATTGAAGATGCCCCACAGTTGGAATATTTGAAGTATTTTACAAAAATTTAAAGTGAAGTCTCTCTCTGGAAACAGCAGTAACAAACTTGACAAAATTGTACTCAGTGTGAAATTTTTATTTCATTTTACTATTTTTATTTCATGTTACCTCACATTTATATATATTTAACAATTATTTGCCGAAGTCGAGGTGAATGTCGCTGAATAATCTCCAAGACAAAGTCAAGGGGATTATTCAACAATATTCTCCCAACCTGAGGCAAATAATTGTTTTAGTATAATTTCAGAGCTGAACAACAGAGAAATTTCTAAAATCATAACATTTTAGTAACACTATGAACATTTTATTTTAACATTTTATATAAACTGCGTGGCACGGTTTATCTAGCATCATATAAGGAACCGCTCGACCAATCAGATTGCTGAAAACTCTTTGCTCAGCTCTGAAATTACACTAAATATATATACAACAACAATAAATTATATATATATATGAGGTTTTAGCAAGCTTAAGATTACATTATTTTCCATCTTGCAGGGATTGTGTATTAGAAGAGAATCTCTTAATCAGTAAGGGAACCTCAGTAGGTGCTGGAACAGTGATCACAAATTCTGTTATAGGTAGAAACTGCATTATAGGTGAGAACAAAAACCTATTACATTCTGTTTATGGCCGTTCCTTCTAAAGCATTTAGCTTTGCTATGAACACTGCATATACGATATATAATGTAAAAATAATTATAGAACTATTGTATAAATTGTATGAAGATTAAAAAAAAGATCTTTCAATTCAACAATTATTTTTCATCATTAAACAGATGAACTGGCTTTCATTTTTTAATCCCATTGTCATTGGAATAATTTTTAAAAAGTTCATAATTTTGTATGCATTTTTTTATCTTAAATATATTGTATGAAGATTAAGAAAATAAATTTGTTTAACTTTATTCACAAGTCATTATCTACGGTAATTGTCCATATTAAACTATACTTTTTCTACTATTGACTGATTGATTGATTGATTGAATGATTTTCAGGTGATTATGTTAGACTAGATGGTGTTCATCTCTGGGATAATGTGAAAGTAGATGATGGATGTAATATTTCAAAATCAATTCTCTGCAAAAATGTTCACATCAAAAGGTACACAACAACTGAATAACTTGATGTTGATGACATAATTCTTTTGTTTCTTGTTTAAAAAACTTTAAAATTGTAGATTCAATATTTTGATGTTTTTTGTATCTCATAAATTTAATGTCATTTGACTGCCCAATGAACATGAGTGTTACACTCGTCTCTATAGTTTTCTTAATTTTTGTTCTCTTTCTTTCTGTCCTGTGCACAGGAAAGTAACAATTACTGCTGGATCAATCATTTCATTTAATGTAAGTGATATGTCAAATTATTTTTATATTTGCTCACTTTTTTTTGTTAACAATTTTTTGAAGTACCTGTTCTTATTGCATGTGCCTTTGTGGCTCGCAATGTACAAAATGACTCAGTAGATATTCCTAATTTCTTAATTTTTGCAAGTAAATAACTTTATTCCACCATGTACAGTTGTACATTGTATGACAATCTCTTTGGTGTCCTGTACAAACTAAATGTTTGTGTTGTACAGGTCATGTGAAAACAAACCACAAAATTTTATCATTAAGATGTTATTATTGATATTTAGGCAGTGGTTGGACCTGACCTAGTCCTCTCTCCAGGAGTGAAAATAACACTGAAGAGAAAGACTGAGGATGATACAGACTTTGGAATGGATGAAATTTCCCTTGGTGACAAACCAGTAGCAGAACAAAATGATGGTTTGTTGGTTGACTTGAATATTTTCTGTAATTGTGTTTTGTGTAAAGGATGTTACATAATTTCTGAAAAAGCAATTATGAACATTTAGAGTGGGTTAAATCTGTTTCAAAGACCTGATGTTTCAGCAAAGTAGCACTAAACAGGGCCTAAAAGTTTTATGGAAAGTTATTAATAGACAAACTTTATCCAAATGAGACTTACACCCAAAGCAAAAATTGAAGTATTCCAAAAAATGTAAGCTATTGTTTCAAGTCATCTGCCTATAACTTTGTAACCAGGTCATAAGAGGTTGCAGCAAAAAAAATAGAGAACGTTTCCTTACTTATTACTACATACCCATAAGTGTAGTTTTGAATACAGATACACATACATATGGTATATGTCAAGATGACGCAAACCATTATTTATTTTTGTAGAGTTTAATCCAGAGGAGGTTGGCAGTGAAGGACAGGGATACATTTGGAGACCTGATGTAGAATCCGATGATGAATTGGAGCAAGTGCAAGATGTATGGGGTGAGAAAACACACAAACACTCCCCTAAGTCCAAGATTATTATGAACGTAGGGCATAAGAGTTTTTATTAAAATGATTTATGGAGGATATTTGTGGCAGTATGTGGTTCGTTTTCTGTTAGTTGGTGTGACGATGTAATTTGTATTTGTTTTCCCATGCACTCAATTGTCATAGGCATACTTCATTGTGGTATTGATTGCAACTACAAGTGCACTCTTTGATATTGTTTAAGGGTTTGATAGAGTAAGTTCAAGTGAGGATGAAGTGAGCTCAATTTCCAGCGAAGAAGGAGCCCCCCCAGGCAGCCCACTACCTGAAGAGGACAGCAGATGTAAGTAATTCCTACTAAACTCGGTAGAGCTGTTATGACTGGGTACCCTGCAATAATTTGTCTGATATGGGAAGATGAGCATGGTGCGAGGACTGTGTAGTAGGGCGTGAGGTTGAGCGGTATGAATGGTGAGAGGGATTTTTGTCTCTAAAATATTAAAAAAACAGACGAGGGAACAGCTTCTTGTTTCTTTCTCTCCTTCGTCTCGCTTTTCTTTGAATCGAGTGTCGAGCGCTCACCAGGAAGATTAAAATCCTAGCACCTTCCAGATTAGCGTACCCTGAGCATACCCTGCGGTTAGGACTCTCTGTTGTGCTTTATTTTCATTCTGACGCCTTCAGTTTTAGTGTTCTACAGTGAAATCTTGGAGTCCATACGACATGGTGTTGAAGATCAAGTGGATCCTGAGAACCTTATATTGGAGATAAATGCTTCAAAGTAAGTTGCCTCTGTAGAAATGAGCACAATACTTTAAGATGAGACTTACAGGACTGGTTTACATGTTCCTTATTATTTTGCAGTGAAAATAAAGAAAATTACTGTACATGAATGTACACTTCCTGCTTTCGTGCCTCCATGCACGTCTCCACCCCCCACCCCCTCTCTTCTTTTCCCCTTCACCACTTTTTGTCACTTCTTTTTCCGCCTTACGGATCTTCATGGGACAATGAAACTAATCTCATTGCAGGTTTGCATACAACGTGACTTTCCACGAACTCAACCAAGCTGTCATAAAATCGTTGCTGGAATCCTCTCTTCACGATTCTTCGATTTCGAAACAAGATATGTCTAAAAATCTTAAAAAGGTAAGCTGAATACGAAACTTACTCATTCGTTACGCATCACTATTACCATCATGTGAAAGAAGCTGGTTTTAGTTGGCGAAATTCTCTTTTATATTTTAGGCTGTAGATCATCTGCTACCGATGATTTCGAACTACATAAAGAACTCTGATGGGCAAAGAGACGTGTTGTGCGCAACAGAGGTTGGTTTCGTCTTGCTTCCTTTTAGAGCAAACTTAAATTGAATGTCGAAAGTAATCTGATACTGCTTTGCGGGTGTTGCTTCACTTCGCACCGTGATTGGTCCGGGAAAACTCTCTCAACCAATCAGATGCAAATCTAAAAGCAATCGCGCCTTGGTCGCTTGCGTTTTCCCGCGCTTAAGGCAGTTTGGTTGTTTTCATCTGGAGTTCTCATTGGCTTTGAAAGGTATTTTTCTTTCTTCTGATTGGCCGTTTTGATTACTTTGGTTTTGGTTGTATGACAATCAATCCAGTAGTGCCTCATGCGAAATGTGAATTTTTTACCAATACACTCTTCTACAGCTCTTGTTAGTAGTAGAGGTGCTGTAAATTATTTCACCCTCTTGATCAAAGGTACTATAGATCGGACAGAAAAGCAAAGTGAATCAGATGTAAGTTCGACATTAGCTCAGCGGCAGAAAAGATGGAAAACTAAACTTTTAAATGCCCAAAAGTTTGTTTAAACATGCGATGTCACTATTAATTACCGATATAATTTCGTTCTTCTATAAAATAATTATTCGGTTACGATGAAAGAAGTTTTCATATCATTGTGGACAGGAATTTTTCGTGCAAGCCATGTGGGCTTCTCCACTGTGTCAGACATTTCTTCACCTTCTCTACGACAAAGAAATCCTTGAGGAAGCGTTGATTCTTCAGTGGTATTCTCGCATACCAACAATCGGAGAGGAAGGAAGCTTTGAACCGCAGCGGAAACTGCTTCGACAACAAGTATGTTAGTCTTGTCACTTGATGCGTGAAACTGTTTCGTTGTCTTGCCTTTTGCACTTTATCTTTAACGGTGACTTGTCCCTAACTCTGCCTTTCCTCCCTCTCTCTTTGCTTTATGTCGATTAATTTTGTCTTAACATTCTGTACCGAATACTGCATTCCTCAAAAAAAAAAACTTCCTAAGAAAGGTTTGCAATAAAGACCAAAGAACATCGAAGAAATCTTCAGTGGTAGTTTATCAATATTTCATATTTCTATTACCACAGATTTCTCGCTTTATCACGTGGTTACAAGAGGCAGAAGAGGAGAGTGATGACGATGATGATGATGATGATGATGATGATGATGACGGTGACGAAGAGGAATAAAATATTTTAACAGTAAACAGTCGTTCGAAAAGATATGAATAAACCTTCCGTCTTCATTTTCTGTGGAGTCTTTTTCTTTCACATACTTGCTTTTTATTTTGTCCCTTTCCCAGTTACACCGTTCTTCTCCAGAAGTAAATAACATGTAACTTCTCATAACTCGTTGTTTGAAAATGTCCACGAGTTGAAAGGAAAATTACGAATTTTATGGTGGGAGTTTAATGATAAATAGTAGTCTGTTCTGCGTGAACTGTGTACTCCCAAGACGGTGCGGTTTAAAAATATCGTAATGAAAACCAAGGTACTAAAAGAATATTGAAAATATTACAATCGCATTTATTGAAACATTTGCAAAGAACTTAGTTTACCTGAGGAGAAATGTAAATTTTATTATCACAATGTAACATCTTAATTTGCTCTTCATGAAAAGAACATCTCGCGAAATATTCGAAATTTATGTTGGTAGCACTGTAGTTTAATCCTGATTTCTTTCAAATTATATTTGTTTTGGTCTGTTCTAAACCTCTTGAAGTTCTGTCAATAGTGAGCACCTTTCGTGTGTAGCATTCCGCGACGAATCGTCCGCAATTGAGACTGTAAACTTAAAACCAGGTTCTGTATCTGCTGAATTGTTGTTTCTTCATTGTTCATTTATAATTTCGGTAACCGGTCGTTTCGCCAACGACCAGTTCGCTTACGTCTTAGATCGTTTCGCCAACGTCATTGAGCAGTTCGCCAACTTATTATACGACTCGGGCAGTCAGAGGGCCAATAACTAAAATCAACCAATCAAAATGCTCTATTGCCGGCCCAATATTCTCTAAGTATTGGACCGGGCACTGTCCCGAATGGTCCCGAATGATACCGCACTTGTGTCCCTTTGAACTTCAGTCGTATGATAAATCTCTTATTAACCAAGCTTGCTCGGGACCGTACTGGAAGAATATCGGCCCTCGGTCTTTTTTGTACAGACCTCGCTGCCTCGCTGCGCTCGGTCCGTACTGTCAAGACCTCGGGCCGATATTCTCCCAGTACGGCCCTCGCACTTGGTTAATAAGATATAATCCTGTAGATCGTTTCGCCAACGAATTAGATCGACTTCTAATGGACTGAAAAGTCGAATGGGAATTGGTTCGTTTCAGTACACACTGAGAGTCTATTTGATACAAGTCGATTCAAGACCAACTGAGGTCGATCCCATAAATCAACAAAGTTGGTTCGATACACGCAGAAAGTCGATTTGATACAACTCAAGTTATTTCGATTCAAAGTAAAGGATTACTTGAGAGGTTTTCATTCGTTCACTGTGCAATAAATCCAAGCGCGTCAGCGAAACGATTAGTGAACTGACCTGAGACGTTAGTGAAACGACCTGTGACGTTACCAAACTAGTCGTTTGCGAAACGACTCGTGCGCGAAACAACTGCAATTCGTAATCTCATATCAGACAGTTAAAAACTGTGCACCATTTCTAGAAGAGGTTTCTGTCTGCGCAGAATGAATGATACTTCGGTCATATTCTTCAAGTCCTAGGCTCTCTGGTCGAACGCGTCTCGTGTAGTAAGACCTCTGTCTTGGCCGCACTGGTCGAGCCAGTCTTACTGGTTTCGGACGTCTGAATGGTAGTTTGAGATGCTTTCTCAAGTACATCTGACGTGCTATGGCTCGTTGGGCACTTCTGTACCGGCTGTACTGTTTGGAGAGTCTAGAAGTATTTAATAGTTAGTTTAGCCGCAACAATTAGGCTGTAGTCTAAGTGGTGTGCAGATGTAGATTACTGAAAGAGTCCCGTTGAATATTTGCTTTTTGAATTAAACCGAGACGTGATCAACAGGAAATTTGTCGCATAATATCATCACTATATCTGGGATAAAAAGGAAATACAAAGAGACGAGCTTGTACGCTAGAGGATGATAGAACACAAATTCTCTTGACTCATCTTGAAGCTTAGCTATTCGAGCTTAGATCTTGAAAGATATTTGATTGAGGGCAGAAGAGTAACCCGATATAAAAAAAAGGGGAAGTTAAAGAACAGAGGATTTGACTTACAACGTCTCACGCAGTTAAGCGCATAGGCAAGGACAATGACAGGATCGTCGACCCTACATGCGAATGGGCGAGGACCTATATTCTTGGATCTTTCTATTCTAGGCATAAGGGAGAGCGTGTCTATATTTTTATGTTCGGTTTTATTTTGACAAATTGTGGGTAAATGATAAAAGCTCTTCCTTTCATGCTTCTGTGCTATCATGCTTTTACCAATGAATTATGCTATCGCATCCGACAGATTGAGAAACTTACCTATTAACTATGGATTTTCTAGCCGCGCAACAAGCGTTATCACAACTTGGCGCGCAGTAGGCTGGGCACGAGGGATGGCATGGGTTAGGCACGTATTGTGTATTACAGCAATGTGGGCTGCACTGAGGATAACACGAGAAATGACAAGATCCCGGACATGTCATGCTAGGACTAGCACCTGCCATTGCGGCGGGCGCCGGAGGAGCATCCTGCATCATGTCAGTGCAACAATCATCATCACAATCCGGGAAACAGCTGTCGTCGCATGTACCAGGGCATGATGGGAGCACCTGTGGCAAGAGGCGTGCAGGGGGGTGATACTTGTTTTCATGAGGGTGGAAGGCACAGCAGGCTACACCGCAACCTGTGGAGTAGCAGATGTTTGGTTTGGAGCATGGTTGTGCGCAAACCCCTACACCTTGTTTCTGTATTGGTCTGTTAGGTTTTAGATATCCTGCAGGTAGAGCAACTGAAAAGAAAAACAAACACACAAAGGCATGTTTTTAAATTCAATCCTAAAAACTGCCTATGATGAAAAAAAAAAAATGAAAAAGTCTTGTTAGGATTACACAATTACTGGTGAACCAGTAGTTTCCATTGTGGTCCTTGCAAACAAATGAAGCAAATGGTCTAAGAACCCCAACCGGCCGAAGGCAAACCAGTTGGCTATTTACAAGCGTGGCCAAGGATCTGAACTCGGGGCTACCGTGAGACAGCCTGGATCCAGTGGTCAGGGTGGGATTCGAACCCGGGAGCGGCGGATTACAAGTCCGACACTCTAACCACTCGGCCACACTGCCTCCTATTAAAATTTGATTATAAAGTTATCAGATATTGTTGAGTTGTTTTCAGTTGACCGTTTTGTGGTGACTACCAGGTAAAGTAAATAGAGCCAGCAAAGTAAAACTGACATAGGCAAGCATGCAAGACTTGTATCGAAACCAAGTCAACTCATCTTTCGCTTGTCATGGTGCACCAAAGAAAAACATGTGTTCCGCTGAGATGCCACTCAGTTTACCTAGAGAAGAATTTTCCTTTACCTTAGACATTAGAAAGCCAAAATTTGTTTTCACTAAAGCAAAGAACGGGTCCTTTTTCTCTTACCTGCTGACTCATATTTGGCTGCCACGGGAAAACGTCCGATCTTTCCGGAAATCAGAGCTAAGGATAGACGGTTGAGATTTCCTGGTTTGTCCTTCTTAAAAAGCAGCCCAAGTGTAGCTATCACACTACCATTTCTACGGTGAATAAATAATTTCAGTCAGACTTATTGGTGAAGACGAGTCATTCCGCGCCATGACTATTAATTGAAATATTACTCCTATCGCGGTGCTCATTTTTATATGAGCTCTTTGCTTTGTGTGAAGAAACGGTTTCTAAATTGCATTGGAAACCAGCGACAGAATACACCTGTGGGCCCCAGAATTTAAAAAAAAATTGCTTTCCTGTGTTTTCTACATTTTATGATGAAAAACTATTCTGATACAATGGATAGATGAAGTTCTTATATCCATTGTATCTGATTTATCATCACGGATTTATTACGAATCAACTTAACGGCCTGCTCCCAGTTGGCTTGTTAGCTCAATTGGTAGAGCGCTGCACTAGTATCGCAGAGGTCAGTGGTTCGAATCCCGTACAGGCCTGATTTTTTTCAGGTCTGATTTTCGCTATTGCATAAATAGCGCTATCTACTGCGAAGAATCGTGCATCATACGTAAAAACTATTCTGCAAACGCTTGGTACCGGTCGTAAACTTCGCTGTTTGCGTGGAAGGACTTAATTTAAACGCATCCGGTGGANATTCTCACGGGACAGCTGTGTGGTATCCGACACAAAATCCGGGAGTGAGCAAACTCTGTTGCTGATATTTAGTAATCCTGCTTGTGGCTTTTTCCTTGAAATACCAGGACATTACATAAGTACATGAATTTCTGGAGTTCACAGTTCTTAGGTGTCACGGTAACAATGTACACAAAATACTTTTGTTCCCTGAGAATCAATTAAAGTAGTACTACTTCGTAAAATTTCCGTAGCATTCTGAGTTTTTTCGGAGGACGAAAAGCTGTACAAATACGAGTTTGAAGTAATGTGTAATAATTAAAACAATTCATAGAAACAAACAGGCTATTGATCTTCTTCGAAGCCATAGTAAACCACAATTTAGCTCGGAAAAGCGTTGCATAACGGCCTTAAGTCATAGTACGACAAAGGAAAAAGATTTGAACTTCTAGCAAAATGGAAGAGTACAGTTCGAAGACACCTTAAAACACAAAGATAGCCTTTAAGGAAGTATTTTTATTCTGCTGCAAAAAGCTTAACTGAGAACATATATTCTAAACTTTGTATTATGAACTTCTGCTTCACCAGTAGGCCGCTTTTGAAGCTCTAGCTCTCACTACAGCAATCATCCATGGACCCCTCATCGAAAGAAATAGTACTATTACTATCGGTTAAAATGACGAACAGCAACGTTTTTCAAGCACGATCGACAAATTCCTTTATCTACTTAGACAGAGCTTCGTCGAAAGGAATAATATGATGTCACGATGGGCAAAAACGCTGAAAAAATACCGTTGGTTCAGTTGTTGTAGTTTGAGCAATGGCGGAACGGTATTTTTTCTTTTCGTTTAGGATCTAAACTTTAATTGTCGGCATAATAAAATTTGTTTTGAAGAACATCAATTTTCGTCTCGGTAGCACTTTAAACGATCTAGGAAAATTTGGATGATCGACATCATTCTTACAATTGTTCTCTAATCTTCGAATTTGAAAATAATAAGATTGGCTAAACCGTTGCTATGGTAACCTCAGTTGGATAGCCTAAACATGCACAGTGATAATAAGGTACTTGTATTTCTTTGACATTGGTGAAACAGTTAAAAAGTGTAGATGGTAGATTTTATTACGAATAAACTTAACGGCCTGCTCCCAGTTGGCTTGTTAGCTCAATTGGTAGAGCGCTGCACTAGTATCGCAGAGGTCAGTGGTTCGAATCCCGTACAAGCCTGATTTTTTTCAGGTCTGATTTTCGCTATTGCATAAATAGCGCTATCTACTGCGAAGAATCGTGCATCATACGTAAAAACTATTCTGCAAACGCTTGGTACCGGTCGTAAACTTCGCTGTTTGCGTGGAAGGACTTAATTTAAACGCATCCGGTGGATACTGCTCTTAACATAAAAAATGGATACCGTTTAGAAGAGTACATGGTTTTAGCTCGCAAGACGATCTATCTATTAGTTTCAGCAGGCACCACGTTTATCGTACCGTATCGATATGAGCTGCACTTCTTGAAATTCGTCATCATCGTCCAACAGATTAATAATCTGAAAAAGGAAGTTATCAGAATAATGCAAGAATGGAGGATTTAACACACAGTGTTAGCAATCCTTCCTAAGGGTAATTTCCTTTTAGGACCACCTCCCTCGGCTGTTTTTTCTTGACAAAACGCTATTCACTCCAAAAGCACAATATAACTTCACTGGCATTAAACAAAACCGTTCAGCTAAAAGAACAAAAATCAGATCGTTTTACGATCAAAATTAATTTTAAATATCTAGTTTACGAGACCATAGACATTGACGATACTGAGAACTGAGCGCAAATGGATTATGTAACGAAGAGTTTAGGTTATAAAGCTTGTTTTAATAATTCAACGGACTGCTAGGGTTAAATATATCCATATTATTATCAGATCATGTGCACGTGCGTATGGTCTAGCATACTTCTAACAGTATTTCGTTACATATTATCTTAGTTCACACACTGGGTACCCGTTATATCTGTGCCCGGTTGATCTTGTACTCGGGCACGCGCACGGTGCCCGAATTCTTGCGTGGGTTTCCTAAAAAATGGTGTGTTCACATCAAGAATCGTACTCGGGCACCGTGCTCGAGCACCAAGTGTGAACGCAGCCTCAGAGTCAAGAACACGAAGAAACTTAACCAAATACAAACTCAAAAAGTTGAGTTAAATACTTACGGCGCTCGTTATGTTTCTTTTTGCTTCTTCGAAGTCCTTACTGCCTGGCACTCGCATCTCATCAGTATAAGCCATCTTGGTGAAGCGAATTTCCACTCGGAAATCTTTACCTATGAATCATGTCAAACAAAGCGACAATTTTTTTTGTCATTCTCTGTGAATGGAATGCGGGGTAATATTGTTTTCTTATGGTACCGTTAAAAAACTACTGAAAAATAGGTAAACTTTCCATCTCACAAAAGAAGAATTTCTTTGAAACTATGTCATACCTCTCTTTGGCGTGATTAGAGATATGGCGGGGGGCAACTTTATTGGTGTTACTGCGGGCTTCTTGGGTATTTTAGCAGCCAGAGGAATCACGTATGAGAGGCCAGGTGGTTTATCACTCTTTGGCGGCTCCTCATCGTTCATAGGTAAATTAGCAAAGTTCTCTAGTCTCGCATCTTTTTCTTCCTGCCGATCATAGTTTGAAGTCTCCTTAGCCTTTCTACTGTCCTCGATTCCTGGCCTGGTAAACATCTCTGCTGGATTCAAAGCAGCATAAGTAGGCCTTGCTTTCATGTCTTTTATTTCGGATCCCTGATGTAGGGCTCCCGAATTCATGGCATTGATGTCAGAACCCTCATACAGAGGCAAAACTTCATTATTCATGTTATCTGGTTCAGAAGAACTTAGTTTTCTATTTAAATCGCTGTCTTCTTTATGACTTGGCTCCTCATTTGGGCTTACCAAACTGGCCTCTGCGTTATTTGGTATGGTTTCTGGCTCGTTTAAAGCCTGTTGGGAAACACTTAGTGCTTCATTCGTCCCAGAATTAGAAGCATAAGAGGGGTCTTTACTGTCCGAAACGTGACTCTCTGGTATAGAATTGGGGTAACTCTCCTCAGGTCCTCGACTGCCTTCCAAAGATGCGCCCTCATTTGTTCCAGATTCTACACTAGCTTGTTGTATTGGAGGGGGGTTTGGTTCAGTCGTGTTATCCAGATCTGCCATACTCGGATGAAGGTTTACTTCCTTGAAATAAACAAGGTTTTGGTCCTTACTAGCTTGCGGATTTGAAGATTCACCTTGAGCTGAACAAAAATATAACGATCCCTTTTATCACAAATTATGTAGGTAACAATTGGAGTATGGCTCTTTAAGGTTCCATGAGTTTTTTATTGTTATATCACTTAAATATCACTTGAATATGACATTTCCTTCTTCTTACAAGTTAAAATCTTCTTAATACCGGTAAAGCGAACAGAAATTTTTATTACAGCTTGTAAATGATACGTAAGTCTCAACTAGGTGCGTAAGGTCTTGCAACTTTAATGGTGATGGCCGTAGATTATGTCTGGAGGCCATAAAAAATTGGAGTAGCATGCAGCATCGGCTGAAACGTCCAACAAACTCATCGCCCACCATTATATTTGCGTCCATGCTGATCAAATTAAAACATAACGGTATTTACTCCTTCTATTAATTTTTATGAGATTTTTTCGCCATTTTTGACGATGATTTTCTCACCTGGATTGTTGCCGGACGCTTTATCATCTTTCGTCTCTGGACTACTTTCAATTGAAGGCTGTCCCATTACATCCAGAACGTTGTCGTCGAATTTACCATCGATATTTCCACGGGGACTGTAGCGAGCCACCAGAAAAAAGTTTCCGGATTTACTCTGTGCCGTACCAATGCCAACATCTTTAGAGCCCCGCCAAACTAACTGGCTGAACTGACCTGAAAAAGGATCATGGAGTTCAATGGATTTTGCTCACTTCGCAATATGCATATCTGTACTACGGGGTAGCCAAAACCCTCGTCCAAATCGCGAGTGGCTATATCAGAGGTTAAATCCCAAACGGTTGGTTCCGGTCAATGGTAAAGAGGCCATTGGGCATTTCAACTTAGGAAGAAACAAATTGAAAGGTTTAATAGTGCAACAGCCATGGCTTTGTGACCACAAGTTACTTTTTTATGTTCATGCAGAACAAACAGTTTGTGACCTGGTTTATGCGTATGATCTCTTTAAAATAGACCAGTCTAGTCTTCGGTCACTTACTGGTGCTCTCATCGAGATGTGGAGACCTGAAGTCATAATTTTTACCCTCCTGGTACCAGTTATTCACTGCCCGACCGCAAGCTTGCTCTGGGTCACCTCCGTACATGTAAAACAGATTTTCCCCAAAAGGTGTTGAAGAGTCGTGCTGAAGTTGATCTATTGCTGCAAGATGATTGGCCCATTTCTGTGCACTAACAGCGATATCTACTGACCAGTTTAGGGCTGGCACTCCATGCCGAGCTCGAACTGCGTTGTGGGCATCCAAACAGTCCCGTATGTAGGAACTCTGAAAAGCAAGGACTGAAACGAAGTAGAGGAAACATAATGAAGTTTTCTTGCTTTAGTGGTGCTAATTTACATACGGTTGTGCTTTATTTCGGTTGGTTTACAAAAGTCAAAGTCGACAGTCAGTGATATTATAAGAGAGTCGCTATTACTGCTATTTCTTATTTTCAATCATCCTACATTTCTACCTTTATATCAATGAAGCAATTCCGACCAAGTTAGTATAAGAAGGTGACCTAAACCTGTTTTTATTCACGGAGGAGTATGAGTGAAAAAGTAAGCTTTACTCCCCGCCAATCATGTCACCGTACCACAAGAATGAACAAGATAGTCGTGTAATGATACTTCGTAAAACGTGACTTACTTTAGTATTTTGTTTTTCTTGTTTTTGTTTTTTTTTGTTTTTGTTTTTTTTTAGGGGCGGGATATCGACTAACATTTCGCTGTTTCACTTGGGATTATATGTAAACATATTAAGGAAGAAAGTCGATAACATTCGTCTGAAGGAGTCTCTCCTTTTTCATCTGTTCCTGGCTAAAAGGAGGGCGAAGTGCAGGTTTACTTGCCTCAATATGCAACCTTTAATGTTTCTCAATACATGTATTATTGTTATGAATGAACACACAAACCAGGTTTGTTTTAGTACATTGACGAACAGGTCACAAGATATTTTATACCACAATATTTATGGTCTTATACAAAAATCACCAAAATGGGCCCTTATTCAAAAGTAAACTCACTTCTTTTAACTTACCTTTCGCTGCCGCACACAATAAAACGCTCACAAAAAATAGTACCTTCATTTCTGATCTAAATGATAACACCCCATTGGTAAAAGAAGGAAGAAACTGAAACATCAAAAATTGATGACTTCAACACAACCTCCGTGACAGCACCTGCCAGATTTGATTGCCACTCCGGGTATTCTATTGTAATTTGACTAATGGCAATTAAAGATCTCGTTGAACACAATAAAAGCTGGCGAAAAGGTCAGACAATCGAAGCATTTTAAACAAATACTTAATGTTTAGTGAGCTTGAAAGTAAGTCACACGCGAAGTGTTATCTCCAATACGGTACATATAAAATCTGCGTACAAGACTAGCTGTTATTACTTTTGCAGCTTACAAAAGTTTCGACTGAAATATGATGCCACTGACCTAAGACAAATGCTTGTATTTCTAGATGGGAGGCTAGTTAATTACAGGCTCCCACCCCTAGTATTTCGAACTTTCCTTGCCAGCTCGCTGAACCTATTTACACTCCTAAGTAGACTGAAAGGTATCAAAAATGTAGCACCGTACCCAATAACGTAGCATGGTGGTACTTAGTTTGACGCTTTAACGCCTGGGGGTGACTGGTATCTAACTTCTGACTTAAGTCTCACTGCTAAATCAAACATTAGGCGTATGAGAATAAGGGAAATGATTGTAAACTTGAAAAGCGCTTGATTTTTTTACTGAATTCTCCTTGTCAGTGCCATGGAAAATTTATGAAGAACGGTATGGAGAATATGTATGCTGATGTTAGGGCCGTGTAACGGGTTAAGCTTTAACCACCCCGAGTCTAAGTGCGTATTCCGCAGTGTCCATGCAACCAAGGTGGTCTATTTTGTGCTTAACTGTATCTTTTCCTTGATTGTTTTTCCCATATTTATAGGTCCAGTTAACTAAGACAACAACAATAATTTAATTGAAGAATATATAAATTGTAATATAATTTAGACAGCTAGCAGAGTTCTTTTTTAGAAATATCTAATGAGTTTGTTCAAAACCAAATTCGCGGAAAAGAAAAATCACGATTTGCAGGTAAATTCAATAATTGGAGAAACCTTGTCGGCGTTTGTAATAATGGTAATAACGACAATTAAAAAAATTGTATTAATAACGACAATAATGATAATGTTGGTGATGACTAATAATTACAATAACTATGAGAATAATGATTAAAATAATATAATAGTAATAATAATAATAATAATGATGATAATAATAATAATAATGATGATAAACTTTATTAATGTCTCATTAACAGATAATTTAAAACCCTTAGCCAATTTGGAACACTTAAATCTACTAGTACCAGAATAATTAGCAGACAATTGGCCATGGTCTGTGGACACTAGAGAAAAAGCCAAATACGTTATTGAAAGCACGAAAAGAGACATATAGTAAACAGCAAGAGCCTGCAGTAGCCACGGCTTATGAATTCCGTAGAAGAACAATAATAAGAATTGCCGGTCGGCTCTTTACAAATAAAACAAAAGGGTCTAAGTTCTGATTTGGAGTTAAAGTATAGTTGAAAGTATGTTTAATTTCATCATAACCCCAGAAAAGCAGGATCTGGGAAAATTTCTAGTCGGCCATCTTAAGTTGATTATCCACAAATACAATATTTGCCACCAACGAAACATTTATTGTCTTCAATTCTTAGGGGACGAAGAAAGAGTTAGATTTGGACTCCCATGAATTAAACCTGTCTTATTAGTTAAAAGTCACAACTATATAATTGAATTGGCTTTCGGGGCGGGTCTCGTACATTGTTATGCATCTGCCGATGATACGAACGAAATTTAAAACTGATTTTCTTGTTGTTTGCCAGTACTCGTAATACTGCAATGTATGTTCAGCACGCAGTTCTGCCTACGATCCTCTACGGGAACTACGCTTATTTTATGTCGTTTAATAATGCATTATACCAGTTGTGGACTCGTTTCCTCAATTTGCGAGTTAACTGATGTAATCTGTGTCGCAAGTTGTTCTGTCCGAACTAAATAACAGAAGAGAAATTGCTCCCACTTGTGAAAGCTGCATGCGGCTGTTTTTTCGCTGTAAAAGACCGTCATTAGTAAGCCCCATGGAAAGCAGTTGGTGGTTAACACTGTGGATTTGCTGTTTGTATGGTAGGAAATGAGTAACCGCAAATATTTTCGTCAAGTAACATTACCATTCGGTAAACAAAGCGATTTAATGGCCCGCTATTTTCGGAAGAGTTACAAACAAATATTTATCACCGAGTGATAAACCAGTTTTGATTCTTTTTCAGTAATTCAGTAGGATATGTTTGAACATCGTCTTGTCTTTTTACGGTTGACAAACTTCTACTTGGCTGGGAATGTTGCTAACTGCAGGTGGACAACACGAAGGGTCCCGTCGAGCTTGAAAAGCCAAATAAGTATACCGGGTAATAAGTCAGCGACAACGAATCACATACAGAAATTAATTTTATTAGGGAAATTCGCTGGGTTAACGGTTTGCTATCTTCACTTCGAATTCGGATCGAATGATCTGCATGAGTAGCAGCCATACTCGATACGTGACCTTCTGTTTAAAACTTAAATCGCCCGAGTGGACCAAATGAAACAAGTTAAAATGTTGTGAAAAACCTAGCGCCATAGGGATGGACTCCGCTGTGAAGGACTAGCATCCCAGGTAATGGAATGTGGGGTGGGACGGTGTTGACAGTCAAGGGTCTGTTTAAAGTCTGCAGTAACAGGATGTTCTCTTCAGCTGTGAGCCACTGAAAGTTTTGATCAAAGAGACTTCATTTATTATCCTAAAGGAAATAAGACGAGAAAAAGGAATCTTCTGTCTATTGGTACATCTTTAAGGTTGTCTCGAACACAACTTCTCAACGTTCTAGTTGTTGCTTTTTTATCCTCTCCCAGTTGTCTACGGAGCTCCAAATCCTGGCTCGCTGAAGAGCGCTGAGCCACCAGGCGCTATGAAAGTGGTAAGAAATATTTATTCTGCTTTAAAAAGTCTTCTGTTTTGCAAAAATTAATTTTTATGGTGTCAAATTGCACTTATTTCCAGAGAAGTCATTTGTGCTCTGCTTTTTGATCAATGCATCCAGTCTTGCCATAAATGACTTCTTCCAGACTATGTATCTAGTCCTTCTCTTTAAAAACAGACCTTGCAACACTCAAGGATCATTTGGTACAACTCCCTCTCTAGCAATTTTATTCAGTATGAGTTTCTTCTAACCCTGAGGTTTTAACCGGCGACTGTTGACAAGGGATAGGCGCATCGCTGCGAAGCTTCTCGAGTGTTCAATTTAATGTTGGCACGGTGCATTGAGTAAGAAAGATAAAGACTTTTTGATAAGTTCGACCTTTAACTGTAATTTCATCCCCCTTCCTTCCAGAAAAACGAAGTTGTGTGCGAAGGACAAAAAGCGTACGTTCAATGCCCAAGCCCTTTCGATGATTTAGCAATTGTGGAGACAATGTACGGTCGTAAGGACCCAAAAATCTGCGTTCACCCAAGTATCCCTTCCAGTGCAGTATGCCAGGAACAAGAGACGCAGGTTAAGGCTCAGATTGTTGGTCTCTGCGAAGGGGAACATGCTTGTGAAGTGGCAGCTAATAACAATTTCCTGGCCAAGGCTGGAACTACAATCTGCCCTGATGTGTACAAATACTTGGAAATAAAATACAGGTTAAATTTTTTTCTTCTTGTTTTCTTTTTTCTTGTTTTTGTTTTTTTTTTTTTTTGTCCTAAATACAAACTAGTACCTGCTCCTCAAATCTGCAGTGTTGCTGTACTTTTCTTCTGACAGCTATATGATAAAACCTAAAACAGTTATGTGTCTTTACGGAACTATATGGTTGGAAGTGAGACCTTCAGCTTTTACATGGAAGGAGAGAGTCTATACACTTAAAATATTTTCTTCTTGATTCGCCTGAAAGAATAGAAATGTGCAGACTTCTTACAGAGAGTTTTGGAACAATCTCACAAGCAAAATAAAGGATACAAGGAGGTTTACAGTCTACAATATTATGACAGATGTAATGTCTTCCTTATAGGTGCACACCACGAACATATTATCCAAATGTAGACAGCGCCTCAGAAAATAGCCAATCAGTCAACGAGGTGATAACTGGTGGCATGGGAGGCGTAACTTCGTCTACCTCTGTCTCCACGGAAACGTCATCTTCGTCTTCTTCATCTTCCGTACCGGAAATTACTGTTCAAGAGCACGAAAACAGTCAACCGATCACTACTGCTACGTCACAAGCGTCTGTTACTCCAGTTGATACACACAATACCCCAGCAGTCGGAAGTGACGTAACTGAGGAATTCACTCAACCACAGGCTACAACTGACGTAATCACTGAGACGTTCCCGGCCAACGCGGCGTCGTCACAATCAGCGGAAGTCAATGAGACGTACAAAAAATCAGAGACTCCTATGCGACCTGAGGAGTCTGGAGAAGAGCCCAGTGGTGAGCAGAGTGCTTCAGGTGATTGGAATGAGGTTGAAGAGCAACGCGATGTTATTTATGATGCAGAGATAAGATAAAAGGGAGGCTCCCTCCAAACTGGTTGTTACTAACCCTGTAAGACTTTCAACACCAATCCTGTGTGCGTAGAGCTGGAAAATCACTTTGCCGAGGGACCGAAGGTCACTTACGAGAATATTTCTAATATGTGCATTACCATCGTTTACGTTCTAACATATTTGCTATGCATCAAGATGATTACATTACCTTAGGAGTTGAAAAGGATACAATCGCATTCACATTTCCTCTGAGCTATCATCAATTGAACAAGTATAACAGCTTTACACACTTCAGTGGTTGATTACTGATAATACTGTCAGCTACATATTGGCATTTAGCTCAGTAGCCCGCTCTGATAGATAACACTGTTTGATCACTTCGTAGCCCGCACTAAAATTAGAAAAATACTGTCCAAGATGAGATGAACAATGTAACTGGCAGTCACATCTTAAAACATGTATAAATAAATTTTTGTGTAACGTTATTCTCTTTGTGATATCACCTTCGTAATATCTGTTTTTCTATCATTTCCACAGTAAGAGCAAATTGTCATTTTAATTGGCTTTACTTTTGTCCCTATGTCCGATCAGATTTTCTTATTCTCTTAAATTTCTCCTCTTTGTTAGGTATATTGGCTGTGCTGAACATGCTTCCTAAAAAGTCATTTTTATTTTGACTTCCGCAGACAAATTTAAAATTTTGTTTGAAAATCACTTTCGCTTCACTGACTTCTCAACGCATAAAAAAATTTTCGTTCTTGAATCAAGTGATTCAGTTTTGTGTTTTTATCTTTCCACTTCATCGCGTGCCCCAATAAAGCAGAGAGGTCGTCCTTAGTAGCTTTCTCTTTACAGTTCATTACAGCCTCATGAGAGTTATCTTGAGCTGAATCATTCCCAAGACAACACACACGGACACACTGGGCTTCTTAAACATATCTGTTCCTGGGCTGAAGCAAGACGTTGGTAACTTTTAGACAATGTGATTTTCAATGTGATGATTAAAAAGACTGAGTAGAAAATGGCCACTTATAAACGTGCGTTCTGTACGGTCTATGCCGACGTCACTTAACGATACGTTTTGCTTAGTCCTGTTTGTGCGTGAGTGCTCATATGGCTGTCACCGTGTTTAGATGGACGGTTGATTGACTTCTTGTCGTTCTAAGCCCCCTCCTCATGCAGCAACATCTTGTTCTTCATCTTTCTCCTCCAATCTCCTCATCCGTGTTTCTTTTGGTCGTTTGTCATTTTTGTAGCTATCAGGGGTCCATCTGAGGGCTCTCTCTTGGATGTTCGGTCGGTATGCTCCAGTTCTCCGCCGTAGCTTGAAGTTTGAGATGAAGAGAATGCTTCGCAGACGTCGGTCAGTTCGAGAGGATTTCTAGTTTAAGACCGATGGTCTGACTCATTCGATGAGTGCCTGGGGCTTTAACACACAACTCAAGGCAACAACCTCTGATAACTGTCGACTTGATAACTTTCATAACCAAATGTTGGCCAAAACCTATATATGTCCCTACTTTTTTTGTATGTTATTCCCAAAGTTGAGACTCTATTAAAACGGTAATGCAAATGGCGTGCCTTTTAATTCAAATATGGGTATTTCGGATGCTAAAATAGAATAAAAATGCTCTACTCAAATATGACTTGGTGCTAAGGCTTATAGGCTCTCAGTTTTGGTGATGTTAGCACGTCTCCCACCAACTGTTGCAAACGACAGACGAACGCTAAATTGTGAACAATGCGTCTAAATTTTCCTATACTCGCGGGCTGAAGATCGACTGCTCGTAGTAGATTCACTTGCTTGGCAGCTGAGAGATTTCCTTTCACAAAACGGCATGACACACTGAGCTCATAGCATTTGATCCTTTGCGGGGAGTTCACGCAATGAGAAATTTTGAGAAGAGTGACAGTGTCTCTTTATTTTTCCAGGAACGTTCTCTTTCTTGTCTCCACAAGGTAAGGGGCATGCCTGTGGAGACAGGTTTCCAATCCTTTCTAACAGGTGATTTAAACTTTCGGCTTGTTTCGCTGACAAGAGAGAACAGTGCGGTATCATCGCGGCATATTTGATCTCGTAATTTTTATTTATCAGTTTGTCCATTATACATCTTTCTTTTTGCCTTACATGCCTAATTACACCGTTACTGGTTATGTCCTCTCCTTAGTTCGATTCAAGTAAGTACATGGCCCGCAACAAATGAGCAGATAAAAATCTCCACATCCAGATAAAAAATTTTGTCAGTTAGACGCTCCATTTGAACCCTAACTGATGCAACAAGAACAAAACAAATTCGCGAAAAACACTTTGGCGAGACGCAAAAATCATTCAAAGTATTGGACTTTAGTCGAGTAAGCTGAGAAAAGAGATTTCTGACCTTTTAAATGGTCTTGTTGAGCAATCATTGAGCGCATTTTCCTTATTCAGCTAACCAGCAAAATATTGTCATAGCGACGGGTAGTCCAATGACATCATAATATTATTTTTAGAATTCCACTACCATTACGAACTTGTCGACCCCGCCACCATGTCGGTCAAAAAAATGGAGGACAAAGCTAATGAATGGTAATTTACCAAAGTATTTGATTATACTTTATCTTAAGTAGCGGGTTTTCAAATCAAAGCGGGACACCTGGACACCTCTTCCTGCAAATCGTTTTGATGGGAAAATCATTTGAGTGTAAATTTGGTAACGACATATTTTGTCATTCTTGACGTCCCGTGAGTTTTATCATTTTCGTTCTACTTTTAGACCTATTCTTGCACCTGAAAAGTCCGCAAGCCAAATAACCTAGAGGTTAGTGAATTCCTGTAGTTTTGTTTGCAACCTTTTAGTGAGTATTTTTAAAGGAATTTCGTCTTAAAAGGGATCCAATTTTCTTGTTTGATTTATCTTAACGTCTTAATCCGTAAATTGTTTGTGTAAATCACGACATGATTCATTTTGCTACTTTATTAGATCATTGACAATTGTTTAACTAATTCGAAAGTTCGCATACACCCACGAACAAGACAAGAAATTAAACATATAGTCGCGAATGAAAAATAAATTAATTAAGAAAAGCCGTTCTATCCTTGAGTTTATTACAGATACGATAGTTTAGACTGTTTAGAATCAGGCTTTTCTACACGTTACGGTGTGAAATTCAAACAGGTACCAGGCGATCCTTTGAGACAAACAACGTTGCGGCAATTGAACACAAAGATCGCCTCAAAAGGCTGCTAATTCACGCGATTAGAGGGGAAAGGTATCCTCTTGTTCATGGTTGAACTGTTAAAGTGTCACACAGTCGAGGGTTCCTGAATGACACAAAGATAATTCTGGATCATCGGCTGCAACTTTTAACCACGTTTAAAATGTAAAAAGTTGACTGTATTTCAAAGTTTTGCAGTCTGGACAATCAGACACAAAATCGAGGACAGTTTGCCCTTGAGACTGCAATATTCTGTCCCAGGTTATAGTCTTTCCGTAAGAGTGCTTTCAACGTTAATTGTCTTAACTTTAAGTGACGGCACAGAGGTGAGATCATTCTGATCATTTGCCTCTTACCGTTGAGGGGGCCGAATTTGATTTCCAAACCTAGTGTTATGTGCACCAAGTTTGCTGTCAGCTCCGGTACCAAAACCCTAAATCGCATTTTCGACCCGATAACCAGAGGACGAGATGAACAACATTGCGAATAACCTCTGCTAAATTCGATTCAATTTACTCATTTTAGCCTGTCAGAATCGCTTCTTGTGGTCTAGTGTGGAACTGTACTTCTAATGATCAGTAAATATTCTACCATTTGAAAGATTTACGGGCCAATTTTTTGCTTAACTTAGCCACAAAATTATATTTTCCGCAGTTTAATGCTCCTCGCACTGATGCGCTACACACTGCTTCGTTTCCTATCATTTTCAAGACCACTGAAATAAACAAAGCGAAAAGAATCACCGACACAGGGCCAGTTTAAGACAGGTCAATGATGGGAAAAGAGGATGAAACCTGAGGAAGGGAAATATTCAAATTTAAAGGGACCTTTCTTGTTTAACATCATTTTAACTGGTTTTGTTACGTTTACATCTTATCTCAATGTTTCCACGTTTTTCTCCAGAAATTTGCAGTCCTAATTCAACATGTGGCTGGCTAGTTTCATAGCGGTTGCCTTGTTCATTTATACGGCGGAAGGCTCTTGATATGGTAGGTTCAAATGAAGAAGAGAGCGAAAAAAGCGAGCGAGTGATTAACACGCTAACTAACTGAGTCACTGACAGAATTACTAACTGAGCGACTGACTGACTAACTGATTGATTGATTGACCGATCGACTATCTGACTTACTGACTGACTGACTATAAATGACCAAGGAATTACAAGTTTGATTGACGAGATTTTAGACAACTATTTAGATCCTGACGGCTTCCAGGCAGTAATCAATTGAGTAGGCTTTGAATTATACAATCCAGCAGTACAAACGTTGATTTTTGCGTTAGTTTTTCTGGTCCGTAAAGGTCACACCATCTTGACTCGCTTAAAAGTAAATACAATCCAAAAACTGGAATTACTGCTTTTACTGATACAGGGTAAGTTTCTTCTCTTCAGGAAGCTGTCCGGGAAATTGCTCTCCTCGGTGTTACCCTAGGTGTAACCCAATGTGTTGCTACACAGCTCAACGATCGTCCATATATCAACAACAGCAGCTGCTACAAGAAGAGCAACAACAGCGGCAGCAACAGCTGCGGTATTACTATCAACAGCCTGCTCAGTCAGCACCCTCCACTGCCCCATATTTTCAATATCCCGCTGCTCCTCCTTCTCCGGCAGCATTTGCGCCGGCTGCCACCCCCTCTCCTGCTGCTGTTCCCATTCCCGCTCCTTCCCCATCTCCCCCTCCCCCACCTCCACCGCCACCACCGCCTCCACCTCCCTGTCCAGCGGACTGCCCAAAGGAGTGCTACCCCCAGTGCTCCTCATCATGCTGCCAACCCAAGCCTCCTCCGATGCCTTTGTTCATGAAGAGAAAACAGAAGGTGGCAGTAGCCTGCGAGGGACATAAACTGAAGATTAGATGCCCAAACAAGTACGAAATGTCATTCTCCATTGAATAACTAAAGATGAGTAATTCAGTAAACCTTAGGTTAAAGACTATAAACTCTGTCTTCCTTATTCATCCATGATATTAGTTGTTTGTTTCGCGTATATAATCGCTGGTTATAATCGTGTAATCAAAGCGCAGTGAGTTCATTCTTCCCTTACTACTTGCAAACAAACAAGCATTACAACATGTCTTCTTTTCAGCCAATTTTCTCAATTTTCCTACAAAGCTGTGCCTTTTACTTTTTATGCGTCTATTGTAAAAAAAAGCTTTGTAAAGACACTACAACTTGTCATGAACTTCAGCTAAGGTAAGATTGTCGGTGTGATTAAATTTCCCAATGAACCCCTTGTACCTGTTCCATAGGTATGATCGCATCGCCCTATACAGTACATTTTACGGCAGAGATGACAACAATACATGTCAACATAAAGTGCTCCCTTCTAAAGGACACTGTGTGAAGGACGAACATAGAATCAATGAGAAGTTATTTGACTTGTGTCAAGGAGAAAGCAAATGTTCAGTGGCAGCCACTAGTTCTTTCCTGGGAAAGAAAAACTCTATAATGTGCCCTGAAGTCTATAAGTATGCCAGAGTTGTCTACCGATGTATACAGCACCCAAAGATTGTGCCGGTAAGTTGATGAATCACATATTTATCAAATTCTGCAATGTCCGAACAGAAATTACCGCATTTTGATAGCTGCGTATTCGATCAGCCCCAATTATAAGAATCGTAGAAAGGCATTGTTACCTTAATGGGGGATGTGGTTGCTATTTCTTTATTCTCGCAATGGTTGTGATTTCAGGTCAAAGGCCGCAGCTGGTTGGGAAATCCTTTGAATACTCAATTGGTTACCCAATTTATGGTAATCGATCCTGATCTCCAGAACCCTCTTGCTTCAGATCATCACACAACCTAGAAACTAAACACTTTTATATGCGATTCCATGAGTTGATAGCATAGCATTCTGACATATTGAACTCTCTTTATCTTTATGATCAGGTGTGTTCTCTTCCATGCCACAAACCATACAAGTGCTTTCCCAGATGTGACATCAGCTGCTGCACTCCCCCACCGCCTCCTCCTCCTTCTCCGCCTCCCCCTCCACAGCTTCCTCCAACATGCCCCGGAACATGCCCAGCAAGGTGCTTCCCTGCATGTTCTCAGACTTGCTGCAGTCCACCTCCTCCCCCAGCCCCCTCTCCTGTATACTATCCCATGCCTGCTCCAGCACTTCCCCCTGCCCATGCCACTGCCTGCCCTGGATCATGCCCGAGTACCTGTGCTCCAGTCTGTTCAGTCAAGTGTTGTATCGGCCGCAACGCCGCATTGAACAGTATAAGGCCACTCTCCTACTCGCAAACACGTATGCCACCCGCCACCTACAGATATCGCAATTATTATCCAGCCTCTCAGTCAAATAACTATTACACAGAGTACAAGCAATACGCTCAAGCGAGATCTCAATACCCGAACCCTTATCAGAGATATCAGGCGTACAGAACATCGTATGGAAACTGGAAGAACATAGATGCCTATAGAGGATGATTGACTCGCAAGTGACAAAATACATCGGAAGCGAGGGTTTTTCAATTTCACAGATGTACCTGCAAAATATTATTTTTTAAAGAACAGATTCCCTTTGGATGTCAATCGCATAAAATTGCCACAACTCAGAAGCTGTGCCAAGTGTTTCCATGAACGTTACCAAAAATCCAACTGGGATTCAAACGTATTTTGTAATCAATATGTCTCAGTTCCTGTGGCAGTATTCATAAGTTTACCAGAGCCAAGCGTTAAAATTTGGTTTACAGACAGACTCCAAATAATGAAAAAGAAAACGAAAACTGAGAAAGGAAAACAAGTAAATTCCAGCATTACAAAACCGAACCATTGTTCGTCGTTTATATTAATGATTTACCATGAAAAATGATAATTTCCCTTTGTTTTATTCGTAATGTTACAAGGTTTTTCGATTCTTGGCTTTAGTCTCTTATTTTAGAGAGCCTTACTTTCAAAAGCATACCAATATGCGTCCAACATGGATCTACTAAAGGGGAAGGAGGTCTTACTTTTTTCAAATGGGTTTCTATTATATCGATCAAAGTGTAAATAATATATAACTTACAAAGGATGCTCTCTCTCTTTCGTGGTCGAAAAATTTTATGTCAATAAAAGTAATACATGTAAAAGCTAAATGCTTCTTGTGGCATTGCGACTTTATTACGCTATCCTATTTTTCTTAAGGTTGTTAGTTGTGGTATAAGTACGAGCATAGACAAACGAGAAAGTGGAACGAGACCAAAACTAACAATGCAAAATTTCAACACGCAAGAAAGGAGTTTTTTTCTCATTCTCACGGTGAGGATGACTTCTGCTCATCTTACAAACCTGGTAACCACATGCTAATGAACTATCGTATTTTGGTAGCTACGAGGCGTGTACGTTTATAATAAGGAATAGCATCAACGTTTGATAAACCAGACAGCATTGCTTTGCACTGACATTATTCCAATTACTCCATTATTACGCATCCACAAGTTTCCCTCTTTCTGTGGGCTGTTTTTTTCTTTGAAGTAACGGTCGGCCGAGTAAGTAGTGCAAATAGTTTATTTCGTCCAGCATTAACCTTTTTTTTATCAATGAAAACTTTATCTGCGTTAAATCGTAAATGTTTTGTTAATGCCATGAACTTTAAACTTGATTTTCCTTGACTATTTTGATTGACACTAAGTTAGATATTTAGCCACGTGAAAAGGCCTGTTTTTCGCTCGGATAGGGTAGATTCACACATATTCTCAAATAGAACGCCCGTACTTTGTTGACCTGTTTCGCTGACCCGTTTTCTACTCCTCCACGACTTGTAAAACAATCTACCTGGATATCGTCGGAGAAGTAAATGAATATTGCTGTAGTACCGGCCTAGCCTAGTTGGATTGTCTGCTTGCGGAAACAGTAAGGTTCCTGTCTCCATAAGCACAACATATAACGACGAAACACAATTCTATCACCAAAGTCGAAAACTTGAACATTGTTACAGATCACATAAGTCTTAGTTCTTTAACCCCTTAGAGTAATTAACATCAAATTTTCTCCCTACGATTTAACCCCTGAATCGAACATTAAGGTCTGGAGAATAGAGGAATTGATCACTAACTAAAGAAGCTCTTGACTGAAAACAGATTCTCCTCGTCAGCACCCTAGGAAATGTATAGAGAAGTGAGTATGGAGAATATGCAGATTGATTTAAGGGGTGTCAAGGGTTAAGCTTCCAAAATTCAGGTCACCTTTTTTTTTGGAAAAATTCCAAGGACTAGACCTTCCTATTTATAATTTCCCCTAAATGGAAAAAAAATTATCTGATTCAAGTCCTAAAGACGTCCTACTTACCTAGTTCGAGGCTCGTACTGTTAGTTACGTAACTGAGTTTTTTAGCGCTCTGGTTAATGGGCTATGAAAGCGCGAAGCGCGCAATCTAAAAATTGGAGGTTCCGTATCTTGATAAGAAATAGCACACAAACTGCAGTTACAAACATGACAGTAAAACGCATGTTGGAAAACAAGATTAGTAAACTTTACTTGACGTTTCGTATGTTTCTACATACATCTTCAGAAGTGACAGTTAATAATACACGTGGTAACTAAGATAAGTAACTGATTAACAAAACAACGAACAAAAGTTGAGTAGAAAAAAATTGCATATACAAAGATGCAAACTAATACAGATAAAGCTTATCGCTGCTGACATTATCGTTTAGAATAGGTTTAAGTTGTTGAATTAATAGAGTCTCCTTTATCTTGCAATGAGTATCAGAACGACTTTTGTCTAATATCTCAAGGTGGTCCATTTCATGTTGTAACCAGTTGACGTGACGTGGTCTGCGATAGCAGATGTATGACAGGCACTTGTGAGACCTTTAAAATGTTCAGTTTTCCTGTCATGCAATCTACGTTTTGTTTTTCCAGTCTAAAAATCCGGGCAGTCCCAACAACTAGCCTTATAAACAACCCTTGACATTTGGGAACGGTTGATCTTATCTTAGTGTACGGAAAAAAAGGACTTGATACAATGAGCACTCTGAAAAATCACCATAAGATCAATGCAACTATAAAATTTATAAATGCAGGTCTTAAGTTGTTTGGTAACAATTTTACTTTGCATCCCTAAAAAAGGTAAAACTAAGACTGTTTTCTTTTTGGGAACTGTGGTAGTTGGATTGATCGGTCTGTTTTGCTGTCCGCTCAAAACATCATTGATGTTGTAATTTACAACTCCAGCAGGATAACCATTCTGTAACAACAACTTCCTCAGTTCACCCAGACAGGATCTCAAAAGAGAAGGTGATAGTACAGCCGAGAAAAGGGCTTTTGTACATTTCTGAGTTCAAAAAGAAGGAGAAGATTCCAATTCAAACAAGCGTTGAATTTAGTCGGCTGTAAAGTCAACTACAGCTCGCTAAATTAACCAATCATAGTGAATGGTGAAACTAGCGGAGGGGCCCGAAAGGCCTGGGCACCCCCTTATTTTGGGTAAAAAAAAAATCGCAGAAGGAAGAAAAGCCGGCAGGTGTACACACACACACACACACACACACACACACACACACAGAAAAAAAATCGCCCTCCTTCCCCTCCTTGGCTAAAGGTCAGTATCTACCACTGACAGAGGACGCACTAACTGAGAGATAAAATAAACTATATATGTAACGCAAAGGATTTTGAATTATGTCACGGCCTGGCAGTAGATCCCATGTCAATTCGTAGCTTTCAATAAACAGTCCGTTGCAAGTATTGCTTCTAGCCACCCAGGCCCCCCCGCGTCACACACACGCCGGTTTAGATTTTGAATAATTTATCATCATATTCTGTTAGTATAACTGTATTTGTTTTCATCTTCACAGTTTCAACCGGTTACAATTAGCCCACGAAAAATGCCAAATTCATAGTCACTGAATCGAAGTCAATGTGTTTATATTTATGTAAGAACCATTCAACTGGGAATGATTAGGCGACGAAAGCGCATCTATTTAATACTCGCATAAACCAGGTTAGCTGGTACGAAAAAGAAACAATTTTTAGCCCAAGATGAAATATATACTTACCTGCAAAACCTTACTCGTTAATGGATTTTTTGGTCGCGCATTATTTGGTCAGGTAATTCCATTACCCGGCTATAAAATTTCATAGCTTTTGTTTTTTCATTTGACGAACGGATAAAAGAGGAGGCTTATTTAACGTTCTTTCTCCACTGAATCACAAGCCAATAGAAATTTGCCCGAGAAAGTTTCGAACTTTGGTTCAAGGTCAGTGTGATTGTCCTAGAATTCAATGTTTATCGCACGATTCTCGAATTTCTTTTATCTTTTAAAAGCTTCTGGTCGTCCTGGCATTGCTTTCAGATATACAAGTTAGATATCCGGCCAACAAGATCTTGCTGTTTTAAATTAGTTTTCGTAATTAGTTTCAAGGGACCAAGTGTCTCACTTGCCTGTTGACAAAAATTCTTTAGGTTTTGCAAAACTGGAATTTGTTTGTTTCCTTTTCTTATCTCTCGTTTTCTTCTTCATCATTTCGAGTCTTTGTCTGTAAACCAAAGACGCAGAGTCAACTTAAACCCAAATTTCTTATTTATAGATCGAGAATGATCAGTTTTGCAAGGGGAAGGGAAGGTTAATCTACTTTGTAATGAATTGAATTCGAGGGTACAGGTCTCAGCTTTCCTGAGTCATCGAAAGATAAGACCACTTTAAATTAGAATGAGAACTGCTTATCATTACAGAATCACACAGGTGTCAAGGGTTTTCGAGGTCGTTCATTGAAATGATCGTAATTGTTGATAAAAGCCACTATGTTGTAGTTTTGGCATGAACAATCAAAATTTCAAATTAATCAGTAACCGATCGCGAGGAACTAACTGACTGTGTAGCCTATTTGTTTGTGCCATGATCTCCGAATAGGGTGGTTTAGCGTGGAGCCCTGGCCTTCTTTAGCCTTCTTGAACAAGCCATTCTACCCTCATAGTGCCTCTCTTCTCTCAGGAGTGTTATAGGTATCGGCGAGTTCTCAAGGGAGCCTGAAGAAAATTCAGGGGTTCAGCTGCGATTGACTACCATACCATTCAGAGAAAAGAACAATATTCCTAAACACCTATTAGTGCTCAGAAACCAAATCAAGTGTCAGCTATATGGGCCACTTGGTTCGTGTACTTTTTTTTACTCCACTCTTTTTACAGATAACGCTTAAAATGTTCGAAATATACTTCTCAATGGATCTGGCATTAAAAATTACCTTACCAAGCGATCTGATTTTTAATCGTTTTCCAAAGAAGGGTGTAACAGCCACTTCGGATTTCCTGGGGTCGCCATCTGGAATAGTGCGCAATGCACTCTGATGTCGTGTAATGGTTGCTCGGTGCAATCGCAGTGTCGTGTTTCACTCTTATTGATGTTGTATTGCTGTTGTCTGAAGAAAATTTTAGTGATCAGTTGGAGCCATAAGTACCACGAAGTGTTCGATCGGCGATCGACATTTTCACAGTTGATGAGAGCATTAAACACCTCCCCCTTAAAAACGTTTAAAACAAAGTCAAGTTTAACATCTTACAGACTTACTGTTCATGATTCAACTGGTACATATTTATTCATTTATTCTCTTATTTATTTATATATTCTTTTTTTCTTTTCCTTTTATTGAACTATTAACTGCTTAGCTCAAGCTTTAGTGCCAACCTACCTTTTATACGTAAACATTACTTAATTTTACTCAGCTCGATTAGCTCTTTAGTTTTCTGAGTAAATGTTACCTCTCCTGTATTACTAGATTAGTTTAACTTTTATTTTTGGTAAAAAAGCTGTTGTTGTTGTTGTTGTTGTTGTTGCTGTTGTTGTTGCTATTGTTGTTGTTGTTCTTCTTCTTCTTCCTGTTGTTGTTGTTGTTGATGTTGTTGTTGCTGTTGTTGTTGTTGTTCCTGTTGTTGTTGTTCCTGTTGCTGTTGTTGTTGTTGTTGTTGTTGCTATTGTTGTTGTTGCTGTTGTTGTTGCTGTTGTTGCTGTTGTTGCTGTTGTTGTTGTTGTTGTTGCTGTTGTTGTTGTTGTTGTTGTTGTTGTAGTTAAAACCTGACGCTTCTCCATAATCATCATCCTCCACTACACTTTCTTGTCTCTCTTCGTTTCAAGAGCGCTCCAGCTCCAACTGATGAGGAAGATCTGTAACATATTCACTAAAATTTTGAGCGCTACTTGTAAAAAGAGTGGAGGTTCTCTTCAACATGATAAGTGTTCGAAGTTCTCGCCAATAAAGTCCGATTTGCCAAATGAGTAAATTAGAGGATTTCGGCACAGTTTCCCGGGTTGGGGTCTATAAGTAACCATTTTTCGTAAAATTACTACATTACAGCACACTATGGGAATCAAGTTGATTTTGGTGATCTCAATAATAGTTGGCGCCATTGTTGTCAAGACTGCCCTTGAAGACCCTGGCCGTGTGCGAAGTCTATTGAATGACAGAGGTGAAATAAAATAATACGAATATGATAATTTGACAAGTACCTGTTGAATATGAAATATAATCATTTGAAGACCTACGCTCCAGCCTCAGGAGAAACTATCATATGTGTACAGCTACATGTACGACGAAAAAGTATGAAATGTATTTGTACGTTTTAACATCGATTAATAAAAAGATTATTGATGCTCGGCTCAAAGGTGTCTTCTGGTGGAAGAACATGACAAAGTTATCGCCAAAATGGTCTTCGTACTTAGAACTGCGCTATGACATGCTATCAAACAGCTCAATGTCAGTTCTTTTACCAGCAGTTGCTATAGGGAATATGATTCTGTTTGTAAGTATACTACATGGGATTTGGCAAAAGAAACTCAACAGAAGTATTTGTTTAACGAATTGTTTTTTCTACATAACAGATGAAAAGAAAAGATATACAGAAGTCTCCGAAATCAATTCATCGTTACCCCGCATGAATTATGTCATCATTCGTTAACTAACAAATGTTTGCATAAAATGTAAAATGAGTGTTATATCCCATTTCTGATATCAGGCGGATTTGACAATGCTACTAAGAGAAATTTGTTGGATTTTGCGAAGATGATACATAAAGTTACTGGAAGAGGAGTTAGGGATTTCATTGGTTATGGCTGCTGGTGTGGTTATGGTGGGAAGGGGCAACCCGTGGATGATTTGGACAGGTGAGTATCCAAAAACTTATACAGTGAATATTTCGCTTTCCCTCTTCGAAATGCTAATTCTAACAAATAAGAAATGTTCGTGACGAGCAGCTAAAGTAGCGAGATCAACAAGAACCTTGTAACCGTTACTGGTTAATATAAAGCTGCTTTTTGAAGTGGAAACGTCAAGAAAATATCACTCTTGACGGTTGACACCTACATTTTATACCGTTTGGCGGCTCACCGTTAACCCAATTGGAACCCTCTGAGTCCTGGGGCCCGTTTCTCGAAGGTCCCGGTAACTTAACGGACCCGTAAAGCTGTTATGTTTTCTTTCAAGATGAAGATTTCAAAAGTTTTGAAAATGATACAATAAAACTATCAGTTAAAGAAACAAGAAGGACTTGTTTTGGGTGCCAGAACATTCTTCCCTATTCTTTGAATTTTGATTTTAAAACATGGCTTCGGGCCCGTTAAGTTACCGGGACTTTCGAGAAACGGGTCCCTGGCCCGATAATTTACCGGGACTTTCGAGAAACGGTTCCCTGGACCTCCACATAATAAGTCTAGCACGCTTACCCTTCAGCTACAGGATTGCCAGTGAAGTTTTAAGGAGATTAACAGCCTGATACCTGGGCGTGTTGTGCGAATTCTTACCTAGACCCAACTTTGAGCTGTTCAATTTGCCTTCACTCGCCTTGTTTTTACTAAAAAGTTTAACTTTTCTACCTCGCATTTAAGACACTTAAGTCCCGTTCTGTTTGTTCTCAGGTGTTGCTATGTCCATGACATGTGTTATAACAAACTCCAGTCCGACGTCTGTCCATTTAAGAAAGCTGTGTACACTCTGCCATATTCCACTGAAAAAAGGAGACCATTGAAGTGTAGTAAGTTAAACCATGTTGTTTCATTGGACAACCTTTAGTGTTTTTATCTATTCCATCGAGCTTCACCAGTTTTTTTGTTTTGTTTTGTTTTTTTGTTTGTTTTTTTTTTGTATTTCATATAGTAATTGAAGTAATGCCAAAGTTCTGAAATGAGTGCCAGGTACGAGAGACTGGGCGACTTGTGGGCGAGTCAACCCGCAAGCCAGACGACTTGTAAGCAATAGTTACCTTTGCGCAAAATGACTTGTGGGCGAACCAAACCATAGGCCAGTCAAACTGTAGGTGAAACTTATCTTCAGGCGAAATGACTTGTGCGCGAAATGAACATGCAGACGAGATGAATTGCGGGTGAACCAACCCGTAGGCGAGACGACTTATAGGCGAAACGTGCCTGTACGCGAAATGACCTGTGGTTGAAGCAAACCGTAGGCGGGATGACTTATAGGCGAAACTGATCAGTTGGCGAAATGACCAGTGGGCGAAACTGACCTTTAGGCGAGATGACTTGTGGCTGAAAAGGACCTTGAGGAGAGATAACTTGTGGGCGAGGGTTGACCAACGAAACTGGAGCTTACCGCAGTTTCTTTCCCGTGAAGCAATTACATGAATTTCTTATCCTCAATTACTGATCTGATTGCGATAGATATGCAACACAAACTCATGAAAAGTGACGGCTGATGGAGAATTGGGAAAACGGCAGTTCGATGACAACCAAATAAACCATTTACGTTTTGTTATCTTTACGCCTATATTCGAAGATCAAAATCGTTTATTTTCTTTTTATGATTTTAACAATCTAAATAATTTTCTTCCACAGAACCGCCTTCCTACTATTGGTATTTTAAATGGTGTCGATATTTGTTGTGCAAATGTGATGCCGAAGCGGCCAGATGCTTTGCCAGGAGTCATTATGATCGGAGATATAAAAATTACTCGCAGAAGTACTGCTAGAAAGAACGAGTCGAATACATGTACAGTTCAAAGAAGGACACTTCTTTGTTCTGCCGGTGACTCTATCGCGCCTCTGTTAAAGTTAGTTCTAATAAAACATTTACGCCAAGACAATATCCTTCTTCAGACATTGTGTTAGTCTTACATGAATTTGCTGAACATGGATGGTGTTAAAAATCTATAACGTACCAAATCCTCTTTTCAAAATGTGGTGGATAGGGACCGCGCGTAAACTCGAGGCATGTGTCAAGTCTCTTACCGAGATTTTTTTCTTGGGCATAGACGAGGTAATCGTGCCCCGCTTGGGTTCATTAGGTTTGGAAACGTGTCAAAAATTGCAATATGTTTAAAAAAAAAAAAACATAGAGACTGCTACAGGGTCTACTGTTTTACGTCTATACTTTTAAATCATGATCATACAGTATTGGAATTGACTTGCTTCCTGGTATCTCCTTCGACCACATTCGTAAATCTTTAAATTTGATTTGCCGATGACGTTCGCAACCGGTCTTTTAAATCTAGCATAAGTAGTGCGTTCTTTTCGTTGGGCAGTTCTCCTACTTCCTCCTTCTTTTGACTGGAAACTTCTGAAGGAGTCCTAAGCTTCTGACCAGGACTGTTGGTGCCTGCTATACATCAAGGCGCCAGTGTCTTTTTACTTAGAACATACATAGAGCACCATTCAGTGCCATGGTTGATGCAAGAGGCTGCCAAGTTTATGAATGATAACCTAAGGTCTACCTGAAATTACCTGCCATCAGGGCAATGACAAAATCTAAGTGCTACTGTTCACTGCAGGTAACTCTATTGCTCGGGTAGTCCATTCAGTGGTTTTATGTCATTTGAAATATGCAATATATTTTTGGAAAAAGAAGGGTTACGTAAATAAGGAAAATATAATAATCAAATTTTTTAGTTAAATCAGAGCAGAGGAAGCAACACATTGAGGTTAGTGGAATAAGCTGCTAATTAGCAGTATATATTATGTTTCTTTTTTATTTATTTATTCATTTTTTTGTATTATAACAGTCTTTGTTGAGGTCTTAGACTATTTCAACATCCAAAGCTTTTCGTTTTAACTAAATCGCTGGTGCAGTAAGAATCGAAATAGCAACTTGCCGTTTTTTTCCAATCTTTGGCGTTTTTTCGTCTGTTTGTATTTTCGTTTCTTTTTTCCCGACATACCTAATGGCATTTAAGTTTTTCCATTGAAAATCAACTGAGTTGAATTTTTTCTATTTAAGTTTTGGTATGCAGTACGTAGCATTGTATAGGAAACAAATCTTTAATTATGTCATTATGATAAAGGCTTGGAAAATCAACATTACTCTTAAGCCATTTTATGCAAAGAAAGAGTTGGGGCATTTGATATACTGAAACGAAGCTAGAACTGTTCAATGAATCACTAATAAGAGGTTACGGCCTCTTTGGTTTTAGATTGAAAATTTCTCTTAAAATCCTTACAAGAACTAAAGTTAAGCTATGGGAAGCAACTCACTTTTGCTTTGGCCAATACTGTTGGGAGTCATTGCAAGTGGAGGTAAAAAATTCAATCATATCTGAACATCTTTTAAGTAACATTGTCTTTGTTTTCTTAATGGACTTCAGATCTATTAGAGGATTCCATCTCTAATGAAACAATGGGCTTCAAACTATCATAATACGGTATACGATGTTTGGATGTAATTTCGCTCTTGGTTTGACTTACGATCTTCTTTTCACCAATCAATTGCAAATGCCAGTCTTCACAACAAAAGTAACTTTAAACTGAGGATATGATCCCATCTGTTCAAATAATGACAGGAATATTTGCAGATGAGGAAAAGATTTCGTTTTCTTCGTAACACCCCAGAAAAGGTCTTCAAAGCCAATGAGAAGGGCATTATGTTTCCCCAACTGAAGTGATTAAATAAATATAATTTATAACCAAGTGCAGGTCATCCAGCTTCTGGTTTTCTCATAAAAGAAGTATTTTTTGATGATAAATCTGTTTCAGCATTTAGTTTTGATTCTGTTTTTGTTTGTAATTTCTCTTGATTTTGCTTTTATCTGACTTGGTATTTTTCTTCATGCCGAATCAAAGACGGTAATGACAGTGCCACCAAAAGAAACATTATCAATTTTGGCTTGTTGGTTTATAAGTTCACTGAGAGAAATCCCATCGATTTCAATGGTTATGGCTGCTTTTGTGGACTTGGTGGGAAGGGCAAACCTGTGGATGATTTAGACAGGTGAGTATCCTACTTTCGATTCATTCCGCTAATTGTAGCTTGCTCTTATGGAAGACTTTAGGAAATAATATTTCACTTAAAAGAGAATCGAAGTTCGAAACTATAGCAAGAACCGTCTGCATTTACGGCTAAAACTTGAATCAGGAGTCAACGGGTGGTTATATGAAGTGATACAGATCACAGTAAGGAAAGATAAAACAGATGACCAAAGGACCGGTCATTGTCTATCGCCTGAGGAAAGGAGGGGGGGGGGAAAGAAATCGGCGGATTTTGGTTGTGCTATGATGAAATTTACCTGATCCCCCGAATAAAGTTCTGTGATATTCTTACGATCCCCCCCTTCACTGGCAATTGATCGGCAGTCACTGTCCCATTGCCACCCCCCCCCTCCCATA